TCGGACTCATTTCCACGGCCCTTGGAATCAGATCCACAAGCGTCACCATGGCCAACGACAGGCTCTGTTGCGAAACGACACTTTGGCTTTCGATGCTTATATTCGCATCTTCGACGACCCGACCCAGTCGCTATGGTGGCATGCTAGTGATTCAGAGCCTGTTTGGGATAGCTTGACTTTGACCGGATACCGACCTTTGGGCGATCCTACGGTTAACTACAGCCATGAGGTTGCCGGTTTGGCGACCTGGCTTATGATGGCATCTTTCCGTGAAATTATCCAGGATGTAGATATTTTGGAACATCTTACCAACCCCAAGGCGAAACCGAGACCATTGTGTGATGCGCTCCAGCGGCTACTTTGGGCTATGCGCAATCAGTCAGCTTCATCTCAACTGTTTATTGATACTGACCAGGTCACAACGACTCTCCGCAACCTTCACGAGTTTTCGGGGAGATGCGACGGAGTTCTGGGAGCGTCTTCGTCGGACATTGGAGTTTGAGCTCGCTGGGAACCGATGCGCTCGGTAAACTATCAAAAATCTTTGACAGTCCTAGGATCGAAAACTCTGATACTGGTGATGACAGCGCTCCAATTAATTATGTTTCTCGCAGCGCCAACGGCGGGATCATGGTTCCAGTCAAAGATGCAAACAGCATTCAAGAGGCTACAAAGAAGTTCCTCAGCGAAAAGCCCGGAAAATGGTCCTTGCCCTCCGTTTTCCATGTGGAACTTCAACGTCAAACTTTTGATAAAGCCACCCGTCAGTGGAGTATGCTGTACGACCGTGTCCACTTGGATGAGGAACTCGATCTGTCTGAGAATGTTGTTGAAGGCCAAGCCGGTAAGTACAGCATTTACGGCTTGATTATCCACAAGGGCAACCGATCCACAGGACGGTTCTATAGCATCCTCCGCCCAGGTGGACCAAATAACCGTTGGCTAGCATTTGAAGATGCGAGTGAAAATAAGATTGAATGTCTTACCAAGAAAGCTGCACTTGAAGGGCATGAAGGTGCTGCTGAGCCTAAAAATGTTGACAAGGCTGGTATTGACGTCGCTGTCGTTGCGGTATATGTTCGTGATGATGTGGTTTCGCAATACCTGACGGGAAAAATCGAATCCTGGGAGCCTCCGGAACTTCGCCAGCATTATTTCAAGACGGGCTACTATCGCTTGGACCGCACACTCAATAATGGTCTGTCCCCTACGGTCAAAGTTGAGATTTTCAGCTTTTCAGACTTCTCGATTATCAATAAGAGTATCGTCGACTCGTATGATATTATGGGAGCTGCAAGGGCAACGGGTCAATTTTGTACCATCTCGGTCCCGGGTAATACCACTTTTACCGAACTACGGAAGAAGATTGCACTGTTGAAGTCAACAGAGGATACAAAGTTGGACCCTGAACGCCTTCGAATCTGGCAACTCGGCGCCCGAAAGCCTCTGTTTGCTCCTACTCTCAACTTCCAAATAATTGAAGACTATAATGACGCGATTATGAATTTCGAATTGAGCGTACTACGGCTCTGGGTACATATTCTGTCCGATGAAGATGCCCGATACTTTGCAGTGCCCGATGTGCCCAATACGAAATCTCCGTTTGATGAAGTTCCCACCGAGGAGCCCGAGGCTTCAGATGAGAATCGTGGAGTGTCTCAAGAAACTCCTGCTGGAACGGAAGGCGCAGATGCGAACGATGCTCCAGCAGAGAATGCGGAGGCACCAGCTCCACCCGCCGCTGACCAGCCATCTGAATCCGCGGATGAACCGGAGGTGGCACCAACATCTGAACAGCCAGAAACTAACGAGAGTGCCCCTATTGCACAAAACGAAAATTCCACTTCTGAAGATACCCCGGTGCAAGATGCTGAAGGTTTAGCGGAACAGACTGTCGAACCGACTTTTGATGATACGGTTGATGATACGGTAACGGATGATGCAATTATTGCTGCGATCATTGCTCAGGATGTTGAAGATTATGATAGATCAGATGCCATTGACACAGAGCCTCCCGTCGATCGGCTGTGAGAAGCTCCACCACTACGCAGTGATCTCACGCAGCTGATCTGAGAGATTGCCGACGCTATAGTGAGTGGGACGTCATCGTCGCGAAACTACGGAGCAGATTGATACTACGCAGGAGGGTTCTCAACCACTTCCCAGTCTCCGATGAGGACCGCACCACCGATACTATAGCAGGAGCAGAGCGACGTCGCCGAAATTACGGAACCAATTGATACTATGCAGGAGGGTTCTCAACCCAGTCTCCAATGAGGACCGCACTACCGATACTATAGAAGGTCAGGACAACGCCGCCGAGGCGGAAGAGAACAACACTGCTGATGAAACGCGTGCGGAACCGGATCCAGCCCCCGTTTCCGAACTCGTGCCTTTGAACTCACACGTGTTCTACTTTATTCAGGAATTCGATGCGCAGAAACAAGAACTTCGCACTCTTGGAACATTCTTTGCGAAGAAGAGCGATATCATCAAAGACTCAGTCCGTGCTGCTCTTGGTTATGCCGGTGACAAGCAGTTCCTTTTGTGGCATCGCGTTGATGGGATTTCCATCTCCGGCGTTCCGTCGGCGGAGGTGTTCGATAATCTCGTGGGATATACTGATGGCGAGTGTTTCATCGTAGGTGAAGTGATTGGAAAAAATGAGTAAGTGTTTGGAATCGCGTTTCACCCTTGGTCGTGTTCTTGATGCTAATATTATGGATTTCAGGCGCATGAAGCTGGCAAAGGATGGTTTATTCTCTTCACCAGACAGACTGGTTCCTTACTTGTGGGCCGTGTCTCGTAACCATCCCACCAAGTCGTTCACCGGGACAAAGACAACGGAAGCTACATTCAACGGAGACTACTACTCTGGTGAATTCAAAAACGGCTACTTCCATGGCAAGGGCACCCATATTTCCGAAACCGGTACTACTTATACCGGTGACTTCGTCTTGGGCGAACGGCAGGGAACCGGCACTATGGTGTACGCCTCGGGCGACACCTATACCGGCGATTGGTCCGAAGATCAACGTCATGGGCAAGGAACTTTCGTCGAACGCAAGACCGGCAATAGATACGAGGGCGGTTATCGCAACGGCAAGCGTCATGGCAAAGGTATCAGCTACTGGGAGGTTGCCGACGAGGAGATGGATCTCTGTCAGATCTGCTATAGCGAGAATCAGGACTCGTTGTTCTACAGCTGTGGACACGTCTGTGCTTGTTTGAGCTGTGCGAGACAGGTTGACATCTGCCCGATGTGTCGAAAGAAAGTCCTGAATGTGGTTAAGATCTACAAAAGCTGAAAAGCTGGATTAGAAGGTCGTCCTAACTATTTCCTTTATCTGTTCTGGAATCCTTTTAAGCATTTTCTCTCGCAGGCTGTTATTCGGCGCGAAGATTTCTCGATGTGACGTTTCTCAAGATCTCCCCTGTCTTCATAGACTTGATACTCCTCGCCCAATTCGCGTCTGCTATCTCTTTCGATCAGCTTCTATGCCCATGTCTTACACCCCCCTCAATTTATTTGATGACGAGATGACCGCTCCTTGAATACGATCTTTATTGCTTTCTCTGGTGGAAGATGCTTTGCGATTTTTTCTAGTTTCAAGGCGAGGGAGTTGGGTTCCTGCTGCTTATATTTCTTCTGCTTTCTGAATTGTCATTTAGGGAAGAGGCCGTCGTTTCTTGATTGTTTATCCAGGAGTGAAGCGACGTTTTGATGACGATGATACAGAGCTTTTTAGTTAGTTAGTTACATAGTTGATTCAATTTGCGCAACCGGAGTTAATCTGTAGAGTATTTCCATGGCTAACTAGTCATTGACGAGTAAATGAATAGTCCAATTTGATAACTCATGGAATTTGAGTGCAAGATCATCGGGATGTCTTGGCACCAAACTTCAAAAGGAGAGCTAGATAGAATCGCTGCTCACAACAAGAACTTCAGGACGGGGGTTGCCAACATGGGTTAAATCACACAGCTTCTCAAATGAATACAGCCTCTTTCAACTGTCATTTGTGTGCGCTCCATGGGCCCCAGCCAACCCTTTCCACCTCTGCTCCCAGATCCAGAAATCCTCCCTGAATCAGAGCCGTTCCTACACCAACAATCCACGAGCAATGATTTGACTGAAGACGGCGAAGAAGAAGAAGAAGATGAAGATGACATCGCTTTTGGAGAAGATGTCGACTTTCGCTCGCATTATAAATCTCCGCCGGCCTTTGATGAACTGGACGAACAACATGTTAGTTCGCTAAACGACGACGATGATGATGATGACGGGGAGGAGGAGGATGACGATGACGAAGAAGAAGACGAAGACGCCGATGGCAATGATGGCATCGCCCTCCACAGACCCTTTTTCCAATCAACCGGATCCCTACCCAATGCCTTTGCGCCGCCGTTCTACAATCGTCCGCCGACACCTCTCCCGCCCTCGCCCTCTCTGACGTCGCTGCTACGACCCTCCTTTTCAGCAAATACCTCCCGTCCAACGACGCCTGATAGTTCAGACGCGGAGACGCCCAATGACACTGAGGCCGCGGTGGCCAAATCGGCGCGGATTGCGACCACGGTGCCACGGGTTAGCCCAAAGGTGCCGACATATGAATACTATGGCTTCGTGCTGTATTTAGCATCGTCGCTAGCATTCTGTGCGTGAACACTCCCGGTTTCGGGACCGCCTATTTCCTTTGTACTAACGTGCGTGCTTTTCTTTTTTCGTAGTGATGTACCTGCTCTGGTCTTTCCTACCGTCCCCATTCCTCCATCAATTGGGTATATACTACTACCCAAACCGCTGGTGGTCACTCGCCATCCCATCCTTCCTCGTCATGACCATTGTCTACATCTACGTCGCCCTGGCGGCATACAACACCGGCTACCTCACCCTTCCCATGAACAGTATCGAAAATCTCGTCGACGACGTCGCGAACATTGCGGTTATCGATAGCAAGGGGCGCCGTAGGCCCGGCGGGTCGGAGAAGATGAACCCCGACGCGACGACGGCGCAGACGATGGGTGCTCAGAAGAGAAAGCTGGAGTGGAAGAAGATATGGAATGAAGGCACGGATGCGGTCTTAGATATTCCTATTGGGGGAGTGTGCGAGGTGCTGTATGGTGAGGACGCAGACAGAGAGGAATTTGGAGCATGAGGAGTAGCCAAGAGTATACCACAAGAAAGGGGCAGTTGGTCACAATCGGCTACGGCTAATAGAGATGCCCATATCGTCTTTCGAGCTGCTGTAGGTCTAGAGTTCAAAACCCAGAATTAGAGTTCGCCTGTCAACTTAAATTCAACATCCAGCAAACAGAGCAAACAGTCGCCACGACGCGAAACTCCAATTAAGCATCTTGCAGGACCATCGCATGAATCATACGGAAAGCAGAGAGTGAATTTCTCAAATACACACGGCTTGAGCGAGCATGGAACACCAACAGCTAAAAGATGGCACCTCCGCGGCATCACCAGCCACTTCAAACCTGACTCCTGAGCAAATCCAACGAATTGTATGACTGAAAAGAAGAGCACAGCAGAACAATCTCCCCCTACTAACGCGCATTCCTCTGAGCAGGAAATCAACCGGCTAAAAGCAAAGGCTCTCCGCGAACAGCGTGAAGCCGAAGCGGCCTGTCAAAATAGAGCAAGTCCCGGCTCTACCGTCGCGGGAACCAAGCGGCCCTACTCCGCGACTCTAGAGACGCCGTCGACTCTTCGCGATGGGAGAGCACATGCCTCAACGGAGCGGGGCCCGCTGGATACCATCCGCCCAGCGCGCAATTTCTCTAAATATGTTGAGTATGACTTTAGCAAGATGACAGACACTAAAGGCGGTTTCTTGACCGCAGACGATGACCCGTATAACAAGGCGCTACATGCTGATAGTAAGCTGGACGGCAAACCGGCACATATGACTCAAAAGGAGTGGGAGAAGCAGCTATTGTTGCAGAACTTAAGGAAAGATAAAGCAGGCCCGTTTGAACCCGGCCTGAGTGTTTTGAGACAGAAGGATGGGCAAAGACAATGTCGAGAATGTGCGACGGTGGAAATCGATTGGAAGTGGGAGGAGATCTTCAAGTGTTGCGTGTGTCACAGTTGCAAAGAGAAGTATCCTGACAAATACAGTCTGCTTACCAAGACCGAGGCGAAGGAGGATTACTTGTTAACTGATCGTGAGTTCATGCCGCATGCTCCAAGTGCCTATACGATCAGCGATGTTAACTTGCGTCTTTGAATAGCCGAACTGAAAGACGAAGAGCTCCTCCCGCATATGGAGCGCCCGAACCCCCATAAAGCCACATGGAACAACATGATGCTTTTCCTCCGTTATCAAGTCGAAGCATATGCCTTTTCTCCCAAAAAGTGGGGATCTCCGGAAGCGCTAGATGCGGAGTTTGAAAAGCGGGAGGCGGAAAAGAAGCGGCGAAAAGAGGCCCAGTTCAAAACTAAACTGCAAGATCTCAAGAAGAGAACTAGGGTTGAGGCGTACCGCAGGAACCGTCAGGCTGCCGGGGGAGGTGCAGGAGGTAACTTTGGAGATGATTTGGGCGGAAAGAGGAAACATGTTCATCAGTGGGGGCGAGCCGTGGAAAATCCCGAGACGGGTATTGCGGTTAGAACGTGCGTGGACTGCGGAATGGAGGTTGAAGAGCTGGAATTTTGAGTACGCGCCATGCATTTAGAGATTTGCGCTTACGACTGATGACCGTGACGAGCTTTATGACCAGTAACCAATACGTTCCGCCGGTGCTTTCTGCCGTGGGCAGCAGATTTGCATGGTCGTTGGTAATGAAATAGCGAGTGCAACTGGAAGCATTGATAAATCGGTATTTAGCGCAAGACTCAAGAGAAGCGGGTTCTCTGTTCCCAACACTTCGATAACAACGGCCGATGTTGTAACATGTAGATTTGACTACAACGGCTAATGTCAGCAAAGCCGCTACTTGGCATGCAGATTCCATGTCCTACGACATGACTTGCAATATCAGCCAAATTTGTGGCATTGTCACTCGACTAGTGCGTAATTTACATACCTCAGCGAAGAGCTCAGCGGATATAAAGTCGCGCTTGTCCACCGAGAAAGTCCAATTCCCAACCAGCTTCAATTTTTGGAAAATTCTGTTTAGCGCAACAAGTTCACCCTTACGTTTGCAATCATGAAGCTCTCCGTTGCATTTATTTCCGTTTTCCTTTACGGTGGCCGCCTTCGCTGCCGGGGTGCCCTTTCAGGAGGGTGAAGCTGTCTTGCCCGAAGTAGCGGGTAAGGGGAGGGGAAGAGGAGGGGGAAATGGTAAACCTAAGCCGTTCAAATACAAGTTCTGGAAAGGAAAAATAATTGGAGAAGGCACCAAAGCTATGCGCGATTGGTGAGTGGGAAGCAAAAGCTCCATCAAAAGCCATGCAGTTTGTTGACTGGGTGATAGTGCAAAAGCTGGGGGGAATGCTGTTTCCTAAATCATATATCAAAGGGAAAGAACATCAGTGATGAAAGGAACGACCATATATGTAGATATTGTTTGAGTGCACCAAGGGCTGGGTGAAGTGTATGTTGAACTCATACAATCAACAACACTTGCTGTTCCAAGCTAAAAAAATATGGTCCAGGCGCAAGCAGACAGTTAAAAAGAGATTAATGTGCTTGGAAATATGTGGCAGGCCCTCACTGCCAACAGCATATAGGGTGTGATTTTTGGTTGTTAAGCAACAGCGCCTTTTCCCTTTCGAACAAATCGCAGTTTTGTTATTGGAAAATCTCTCATATAAATGTGAAGGATTGAATTGCATTGCTTTCCTGTAACAGCGGACGCGGCACATCTCTAGCTGCCACTGAGATTTCACTCAATTCATTGTTCTCTTCTTGACATACTGGGAATTTCTGTCTGAAAGTCCATTTGCCATCAATGAGGTAGCAATTTCTCAACAAACAAACAGTAAGTCCATCTGAGCAGAGCCGGATAGTTGAACAATTAAACAATGTCCGATGCCTCATAATTTCAACAGTCTATTAGCCGCACAATAGGTGGGCCATCACGGATATATTTATATGAATCAGTGCTTGTAGCAGCATGTTTGTCTTGCCTAGTCACCCCGCCTTGTGAGCTTGGGCGTTAGGCACTTGTATGGGTGTAGGCTTTGTCAATCCATTATCCTCAATGATTGTCAACTTTCGTAGTAGAGTCCTTGTGCATTCTCGTAGAGTGCTTCTTGTCACCCTAGCTGTGCTGATATGTTTGTTGTCGTCTGATTGCTGGTTGCTTAGTCATCAATTGGCTGGCATGTCTATCCAGGCTTACCTAAAGCGGCTAGTCCCTATCAATCGCAGTTGGGCGTCTTGGCAGCAGCCCCAGGGAGACCAGAGCGGATGTTGAGCTTCACAAATCTGTTCACTCCTCTGTCTTTTTGAGACTGGGACATTGAGCCTTTTTATCTGGAACACCTTTAACTCATAGGCTAGAGCTAGCTGGTGCTGTCCTGGGCAAAGAGCGCTTAATCCCACCAGTTGGTTGGTGCTGCTGTTGTGCTCAGGATTGCTGTCCCTTGTTTCGCGCGATTCAGACGAAAGAGAAGAACCCTGGGGAACCCCTGCACCTCAGCAGCAGATTCTCCTCAGCGTATCAAACAGTTGTTTTCTCTTTAATGGCCTGGCAGACTCCATCTGCCATGGCTGGGAATGGAGAAATGGGCGGGAACATGGATGGCAACCATGGCGGACATCCTCAGGGAACTGAATATACATTACAAGGTTCGTTCACATATTTACTCACCTTAAAGCCGATTTTCGATCTTGGCTTGGTCTGTACCAATTCTCCATGCTAATGTGCACTGTTCTTGCTTCAATAGGCGTTATGCGATTTCTCCAGTCCGAGTGGCATAGACACGAGCGGGATCGGAATGCTTGGGAGATCGAGCGAGCGGAGATGAAATCGAGGATCGGCAAACTCGAAGGCGACGCTCGAACTAGCAAGCGCATGCATGAATCCCTGGGAAAACACGTAAAAATTCTTGAAATCGCGCTCAAGAAAGAAAGAGAGAAGGTCAAAAAGCTCGCAGCTGGGGAGAAAGTCGACCTTGGGAAGGACCCTAAAGAACTGGCGAAAGAAAGCCTCAAGATTCTCCAAACTCGTACGTTTCGTTCTTCTATGTGCCTTCTACGGCCACCGCGATTCTAACAGCGTATTTAGAATTCCCGAAAACCTCCAATGTCGGCCTTGATGCGGATGTTGATCACGAAGATCCAACCCATTCGGCTATGGATCATGACACTGAGCGTGATAAATCGCGAAATTTCCTAGGAAAATGCTCCCAAGAAATTGCGTATCATGTCATTCCTGGGTACCATCCGCCTCTTGATCTCCATGAACCCCCTGAAATGTTCCGGAGCAGGCACCACATGCAACGACAGCCCCTTGAAGAAACATATGCTCAACCACAGCTCCAGCAGCAGGGACAAGGCCATTCAGCGCAAATGCATCTAAAGCAGGCCCAGCCAAACCATGTCAATATGGTTCGAGAACCCTCTCTACACCAGCATATCCTACCTAACTATGCCGAGAACAACAACTACGCTGTTCCAGATAATTACGCTTCCTCGGGACCCCGTGATAGCTTGGAAAAGCGAACATACGAACAACAGCGCGTGTCTGGACCTCCTATGGATGGACGGAAAGGCATGTTTGACGACATACTCGGTTCTGAAGGAAGCCGCAGAGATTCAGAGGGTCGCCTGTTTGATCCGTATAATAAACACGCCGATGAGCAGATGGACCGTCGCGTTCTCACTTCCGATGGCATTGTTGTTGACGAAGCTGACGGATGGAATTTTGACGAGCCGCCCGCGAACGAAACGCCATTAATCTCCTCTCAACCTCACCGGCCGGATCAAGATGCATTTCCTAATGCGAACTTTGTGAGCCCCAAGTCCCCTCCGCGGGCTGGTCCCGGTTCGCATCGCCGGAAGAGTTCCGGGTCTAGAAGGAGAAGCGAGGGAAGTATCGACTTTAGAGAAGGAACCGGAGCGGAGCTGCAAAGACAAGAACCATCAAATTTCAAAGTCCGTTTTGCTCTGCGTGGCCATCTCGATGTAGTTCGGTCTGTGATATTCACTGGTGGCGGAAGCCCTTCAGAACCCGAACTCTGTACTTGCGGTGACGATGGAACGATCAAACGGTGGACACTCCCGGCTTCCTATGGAGGTTTTGGTCCGGTTAACGCGGCATCGGGCAACGATCTTGATATTTCCAGTTATTTCACCCATAGAGGCCATAATGGTTCGGTTACTTCTCTCGCCGCGTGTCCAGCTTCCCGAGATTTCTCGAATGGTGGACGAGCTCTCGGGGATGGCTGGGTATTTTCCGGAGGCCAAGATGGAACCGTCAGGGTTTGGGAACGTGGAAGAGTGGATTCCAAAGCTATATTAGATGGCCATACTGATGCAGTCTGGGCTTTATGTGTGTTGCCAGGTACTTCCGGTTCAATTCTCGGAGACCGCAGTAGTCTGTATGGTGGGCCGGATCGCATACTATTAGCTTCAGGTGCCGCAGACGGAAGGATTCTGATATGGGCAGTCAGCGCTCCGCCACAACTGACTTCTCCACAAGCTGGTTCACGAAGGGCAGGTGGTAGCAGACGAGCAAACTCGATATCGTCAGGATCGAACTTCCCATCCTCACCGCAGCCAAGCACGGCTACGGCAACACCGTTCCACTACACCTTGATTCACCATATCGCCCGAGCCGATTTACCTTCCCCAACTTGTATCAGTCCATTGTCTTTAACAGGCGCAAATTTTGTGGTTTCGTATGCCGACGCCTCTGTTCTCGTTTATGACACCAAAACAGGAGAGCAAATCGTTGGCATGGCAAGTTTGGAAACGTATGACGGAACTCGCTCCACCGGAGTCAACTCTGTTGTTGCTAGCACCATTGGTTTCGATGGCACTGCTGGTCTGGACCCTAATCGGGCACTCGCGGAGGAAGAAACAGTTGTACATGGGGCCACAGGTACAAGCGGTGGCGTTGAAGGTGTCATTATCAGTGGCTATGAGGACCGTTATATCCGGCTATTCGATGCCAATAGCGGTACGTTATCCAACCTGCTGCTTATTGTTATTGTCCAGCAAACTAATGAAACTTGTTCAGGTCAATGCACGTACACAATGCTTGCACATCCAGCGGCAATTTCATCATTGTCCTTGTCACCTGATGGAAGAGAGCTCGTTTCTGCAGGACACGATGCAAGCCTTCGCTTCTGGTCTTTGGAAAAACGAAGCTGCACCCAAGAGATTACAAGCCACAGACTCATGCGAGGCGAGGGAGTTTGCTCCGTTATATGGAGTCGCGATGGACGGTGGGTTGTTAGCGGAGGCGGGGACGGTGTGGTGAAGGTTTTTGCGAGGACCTGAGAACCGAGCATGGATCGCCTTTCCAAGCTCTGCTTGATGCCATTTCCCTGCTCGATCAAGCATGGTGAAGAGGGCCTTTGGTTCAACAGGGATTGTTTATGTTCTGTTCTCCCATGGTCACCTTACAGATTTGGTTTCACGTGATCTTATACCTACCCCCTACTTGGAAATGCTTGCTGTTCAACTGGATGATTGGACCTTCTAAAGCACATATTCCGGAGCAATTTCTGATTGCACTGATGCTTTATCTTGGCTAATACTTCTTTGTGCATGCCTGGATTTGTTCTCTTGACTTTGACGATACCCTGAATACTCATCATTCTCCTGCTGTTATTTTCACTAAGGTGAAGGTTTTTTCCAGCATCTTATGTTCTTTTCCCTTCTTCAATGCCCATGTCATTCTAATGTTAAAAAAAACATGCTTTTCTTTCCGTCTCATGGCTCACCCGCTAAACATTCCGCTTCCTGTTCTGTATAACATAAATTCTTGTGACCTATTCTGATTCATGTTATTATGCGTTTAATGAGTGACCCATGACGTTTCCTTTCTTCTCTTGAGTCTTACATCAAATTCAGCCATAAGATTCAGCCTTCTTGAGCGCAGATTGTTAATGCCATCTCGTTGGTTAACTTAGTGAATGGCCAAGAAATACAAAATGAGCTTGCAAAATATGACGGGCCTCAGTTTCTCCCTCATGACGAGTGTTCTGATGAAGTAACTATATCATTAGTCATTAACTTGTATCTGCTGATCAAACTTCGGCGTAGAGGGTTTCATGTACTTGATTCCCATGCATTTTTGAACAATACTCGTAGCCGTGCTGCTTCCTTCTCATCCTTAATTCTCATTTTCAGGAAACCTTCCAGGTCTTCCCAGAATGACTCCGACCAAAGAACATTACGGTTTTCTATATCAGCGGGCAACTTCTTGGCAGTATCTGGTTCCTGCATGGCCTCTTTTCCCGCTAGGTGTTCAGCTCCGGTAGCAATCGTCGATGTAGCAGGCGGCTCTTGCGGCGGCAAGACGGCAGCACCGCCCAGAATCATAATGCCAAATTCCACCTCCTTCCCCCCCTTTAAAACATCGGGTTCACTAGCCAATGCATCCGTCACAAGGTTTCCCTGCACCGGTTTTCGCTTCCACAATATCTTGATTTTCTCCAGGGGTACTTTCTCACTATCACTTTCCGCATTTGCGGGTTTAATGCGCGACTGGACGGCTGCTTTGAGGTCCTGGATTGATGCGCCGGATAGAGGCACGTTATCAAGAGTGATATCGAGGACAGGATTCCGAGCAGACTTGAGATGGATCGTTATGGACTTGGATGAGCCCGGTATGGCGGCGGGTTTGACCTTCTTGGGTAGCTGCGGGTGTGGAGGGTCGGAGAGGCGGGGAAGAGTAAACTAAGGGAAAGAGGTAAAATATGGATGAGCTTATATTCAGACAGCAAGCATGGACAAGTTAACTGTCATTCGGATTCATACAGGCTGGCGTGCTTGGAAGTCCCGTGGGTCAAACACATGGTTTGCGGGGAGTTTGACGGGCTTTGAGTCGAGTTGCGCCAGGAACGCCTTGGTAAAGGACAGCTCTGCCATCGCTTTGAGAGTGTTGCTTCACTTGCAATTATTGGGTATCGAAAGTGAGAATTGTAGATTCTCTTCCCAAACGACACTGAGAACGACGACGATGTTGTTGAATGATTGGGATGTTCCCAAGCTCAATGTCTCGTGATCGCGGTGCTTATCTTATCAATCAGCAAGCTCCAAAAAGTCGGATTTTCCCAAACCCCAAAATTTCCAGCCGGAAGTGAACCTTTCTTGTCGTTGTTTTCGTCTGCAAGAAGCGAGTTATTGAAAATACACAATGGGTGTCGGGCGGCGCATGAAAAAGCAAGGCCCTCCGCCTCCTCTAGACGAATCGAAAATTTCTTCGTTAAAACGGCGAAAAGCCGACGTCCCAGATGATGCCGCGCCTCGAGGAAGCAAACGCCAAAAGGCCGGGAACAATACGCAAACGAAGAAGAATTCAGGTCGGAAAAGCAATGGTGCTGGGAAGGTTACAAAAAACATAAAAAAGAGCAAAGAAGCAAGCGAAGACATGAGTTCGAATGAATCTCGCGCTTCGAGCTTGGAGGCGGAGTCCCGCGTCACGAGTAAACCGCTGTCAGAAGTTATGGATTTGGAGGACCATGTTAGTACGTCCGGGCTCGAAGAGGGCATGGAAAGCGACGAGGAGGACGATTCGGGTTTTCGATTCAGATGACGATCACCACGAAAAGCAATGTTTTCGGACGATGAAGACCTGTCCGATGCGGAGGAAAGCCTACAGCGCAAATATAGAGGGAATTGTTCACGAAACTTGGATATGCAACAAATTGGAGGAAGCTGCACGTGCAGAAGAGGAGATGAGAGAGTCGGCTATGCAAACCCAATATCCAAGGAGACCGCCCAGATGTGTTTGGAGATGCAGACCCAAGCCAATCTTCCTCAGAGTCTAGCTCCTGACTCTCAATTGCTTCGAACACGGATAACGGATACAATTCGCATTCTAGGAGACCTGGCTACTCTTGGCCAGCCGAGAAAATCCCGTTCTGACTACACTGACCTTCTCCTCCAAGATATCTGCACATATTACAGCTATACGCCTTATCTAGCAGAGAAGTTGTATTCGTTATTTACACCGATGGAGGCTTTTGCATTCTTTGAGGCCAACGAAACTCCGAGACCCGTTGTGATTCGCACCAATACACTACGCACGAACCGTCGCTCGCTCGCGCAAGCTTTGATCAATCGCGGAGTCGTCCTTGAACCAGTCGGTAAATGGTCCAAGGTTGGGTTGCAAGTATTTGAATCCCCGGTGCCACTTGGTGCCACGCCCGAATACCTTGCTGGGCATTACATTCTCCAAGCAGCGTCTTCGTTTCTTCCCGTAATGGCTCTTGCGCCTCAGCCACATGAGCGCATCTTGGATATGGCTGCTGCCCCAGGTGGTAAAACCACTTACATGTCGGCACTCATGCGGAACACGGGCTGCGTTATGGCAAACGATGCAAATAAGGAGCGAGCCAAAGGTCTTATTGGCAACATTCATCGTCTGGGTTGCAAAAATACTATTGTAACCAATTTGGATGCGCGGACAGCGTTCCCCAAGGCACTTGGTGGATTCGATCGGGTCTTGCTCGATGCTCCCTGCTCAGGAACCGGCGTCATTTCAAAAGATCCCAGCGTCAAAACATCCAAAACCGAGCGAGATTTCATGGCTATCCCCCACACCCAAAAGCAGTTGCTCCTTGCTGCCATCGATTCAACCAACCATGCGTCAAAAACAGGTGGATACATTGTGTACTCAACTTGTAGTGTGGCTGTGGAAGAAAACGAAGCCGTCGTGCAATACGTGCTGCGCAAGAGACCAAACGTTAGAATCGTCGATACTGGACTGGGTACTTTCGGTAGCGAGGGTTTCAAAAGTTACAAGGGCAAACAGTTCGACCCCAAGATGGCGTTGACTAGACGATACTTCCCACACCGCGAGAACGTTGACGGCTTCTACGTGTGCAAACTTAAGAAATTTGGTCCTTCTCCTGCGGAAACAACGGCTGTTTCTGCAAACAAGGTTGTGGACGGGGAAAGTGCGGAGAACGAGGAATGGGATAAGACGCCTATAGTTGAAGAGAACGGCGCTAAAGCCACAGATGACGACTTTGGACCATTCGATGAAGAGGAAGATACGTCGTATATCGCAAGGGCGGAGCGAAACAAAGTGCGCCGGAAGGGTTTGGATCCTAGAGCGGTCCTAAATGGCAAGGAGGGAGAGAAGGAGAAACGGCAAAACAAAGACAAGGACCAAGGGAAACAGACGAAGAATGCGGGTGAGAAGGAAAAGAAGAAGAGTAGGAAAAAGTCCGCAGGGCGTGCGTAGGAATCCCTATTTGTAATTTCATGATATCTCCAGAGCTGTTTCGTCTCGCCGTTTTCATTCTTCATCGCGAGTCGATAGTAATAGGTATCCGCTAGTCCCTTTACGGCAAGACGCGTCAGGGCCGAGCCGGCTTAGTCAGCAGGACCTCCAGCAGTTTCAGCGTTTCGTCCTTTTTTCGTCCTGCTTCAACTGTCTCCTGAGCCCTCGATCCTCGCTCACCTGGACGCCGTCGGCATTGCATAGAGGGCCCATTACATTCGCTACTCATCACCCAGAGACCTGCACCGACTGTTTCTTCCTCCCACCTGCCGTTCTCCCTGTTGTGCACTCCGGACTCTTGCAGATTCGCCTTTCTCCTAGCATCAGCCCGTGCAGCCCTATTTTCGGATTCACCCGTAGCAGGGGTTTCGAGAAGCCCAGGCGACCAGAATGGCAGACTCAAAGAAGAATGACAACTATGCCGTCGACATGGAGAAGCTAGACGCCGAATCGGACCGGTTCAAGGCTCCGCCGCAGCCTCAACGACACCCATCGCACTCACCATCAATATTGAGTGGCCCAGCGGTGCCTATTCTCAGCTACTGTGCTTCTTCCATTCTAATGACCGTAACAAATAAATATGTTCTTTCAGGCGTCGAGTTCAATCTTAACTTCTTTCTTCTATGTGTTCAGGTATGAACCGTCGATTTTCCATCTTCAAATATTTTGTCCGAAATGCTCACCAGCCTCGATCAAATACAGTCTGTAGTTTGTATTGCGGCCATCCAGACTTGCAAATCGATGGGGTTAATCAATTTTCGTGATTTCAATTCGGATGAGGCTAAAAAATGTAAGCTCCTTGTCATTTCCTATCTGGTGACCTCAACTGATAGTTCCGTGATGGTAGGGTTTCCAATTTCGCTTCTCCTCATTGGCATGATTTATACCGGTGCCAAAGCTCTCAAATTCCTGTCGATTCCGGTTTACACCATCTTCAAAAACCTTACCACCATTCTCATCGCCTACGGTGAGGTTTTGTGGTTTGGGGGTTCGGTCACTGGGATGGCTCTTTTCTCCTTCGGCCTAATGGTAATGAGCTCTGTCATCGCAGCCTGGGCAGACATCAAGCATGCTCTCGACAGCAGCTCCCTCTCTGGACTTGAAACTACAAGCAAAATCTCGACCCTGAACTCGGGATACCTTTGGATGTTGATGAATTGCCTTTGTACTTCCATGTATCTCTTAGGCATGAGAAAGCGGATCAAGTTGACGAATTTCAAGGATTTCGACAGTGAGTTTTCTTTAAGCGGCCTGTTGGTTGAAATCAAGACAAAAGTCTGACTGACATCTTAGCCATGTTCTACAATAACCTCTTGTCTATCCCGATTCTGCTTATTGGATCTTTCATTGTCGAGGACTGGTCCTCCACCAATATCAGCAAAAATTTCCCCATTGAAACCCGCAATTCCTTGATCTTTGCAATGATTTTCTCCGGTCTCTCGTCCGTCTTCATTTCCTACACATCGGCATGGTGTGTCCGGGTCACCTCCTCTACAACTTACTCCATGGTGGGAGCACTCAACAAACTTCCTGTCGCTCTCTCGGGCCTCGTTTTCTTCGGTGATCCAGTCACCATTCCTGGCGTCTCAGCCATCGTGGTTGGTTTCGTTAGTGGACTGGTTTATTCGCTCGCCAAGGTCAAGCAAAATGCGAAACCAAGGACTGGCATCCTCCCGACCGCGAACCCAGTGAGTGCCAGTACGCAAAGTATGAGAGACGGCCTTAAATCATGAACACCTACTGGTTAGCCCTAGAATCGTTGGCTTTTTATTTTCGATCAGACCTGCGATTCAAAGTATAAATAGCAATTCCTTCCGGGAAGTTTAGAAGCACTGCGGATTCCGATGGGCAACATGGTCCATCTTTGTTACCAACTTGCTGCCCCAGTAATATCCGAATGGCGTTTTAACCGAACCCGGAGTTTGCGGGCCAATATTCACTTTCCCGCAGTTGCCAAAGGACTTTGCTCTTCTGGGTTTGGGGGGCATTTTGTTACTTTTCTCGCCCATGCATTATCTTTTTGTCTTCTCAAGCTGATCTTCAATCTTCGTTTTACACTAAACTTCATTAAAACTGTAACAAATCTAATGGCTGTTCGTGTGGTATCCCTTTCTTTTCCATTTCCTTTTTTCTTCTATTCTCCTTTGCGCTTTTTTCGACTTCTCAAAAAATCAATTGCCCTTGACGGTGCATGGATATTTCTGGCGACTTTTCTTTTAGTTGGTCTTGCAAGGTTCACGCCTGGGTCAGTTTATAGAAATGGTATCTTTTTATAATGCCTACGAGGATGGCCAATATATTTAATGTCATGATATGTTCAAAATTGGTTGTAATAGCTGTATAAAGTAGACAAGTTCAAAGATATCAAGTCATACAGACAAGGGAACCTTTCATTGTACTCCCAGTCATCCTCTACGCCTGGCGATATCGATTATAGAGATGATGTCGCTTATCTCGAGGAATTGACATGGCCTGCCTGCTGTTGGCTGTTCTCGTTAACTATGGAGTGACCCCATCCAGAATTTGCACCTCACCACGATGGACAGAATCTTGCCCTATGCCGATAACCATCCAACTCCCAGCCATTTTAACCTGAAGCCAAACAATCCTCTAAAATGGGGAGATCCAAAAAGTCCCACGGCCAGCAACATGGCTCTCGAGGCGGGAAGAGAATGGGCAATTTTTTCAGGGTGTCAACACAGAACAAGGGGACTATTAGCAAGAAACCTCACGACAAAGGCAGTAAACGGCATCAATTGCAAAAGAATCAAAGACCGGTTGTCCCATTTTTACCTTCTGATAGGATATTGCTTGTCGGTGAAGGTGAGTTTACGGTCTTTTCCTCTATCTTGTGCTCTCTCATTCAATTTCCATGAAATTGGGATTTTATGCAGGTTTTATCTTCAGTGCTTTTATTTACATCTCTCACTGCTACAATTCCACGCAGAATTCATGTATTCGCCGAGATCGGGCATCTATGCTGGAAACTGCCAATTCTAACTGTTGCTGTAGGAGATTTCTCGTTTGCCCTCTCGCTATCAACCCACCATGGTTGTAAACGCATGTTGGCAACATGCTACGATAGCGAGAGCACGCTGTATGAAAAATATCCTCAGGCGAAGCAACATATTAATCAACTTTGTGCTTCAAAGTTCGCGAACTCGGCTCGAGGATTGAAGCGGAAACGAGGCGGCACGCCTACTTCAGAAGATGGACCAGGATCGAACGGCGAACAGACTACACAAGCCGCCAATCCGGCGCCTAATGCAGATAAATTATCGCCCAAAGTCCTCTTTTCAATTGATGCAAAGAAATTGGGGCTGACGGGAGGTGGCGGGAAAGTCATTCGCAAAGGTTTTCCTTGCCTCTACCATCGCCGAACTAGCACACAACAGCAGCGAAGCTTCAAACCAAAAACGGACAAGGAGCGTGATGCTGATGAAAGTGGACCGTGGGACATTATATGCTTCAACTTCCCGCACGTTGGTGGGCTTAGTACGGATGTGAATAGGCAGGTTCGAGCAAACCAGGAGCTCCTTGTTTCTTTCTTCAAGGCGTGTGTTCCACTCTTGTCAGCACCTCCGTTAAGCGGTGCTGGGAATTTATCTGATGAAGAGGATGAAGAGTATGAGGGTTTTAGCGGTGGCTCAGATAGCGGCGAAGATCCTGTGGAGTGTCGAAAATTACGAACGGAACCCGGACAGATCATTGTTACGCTGTTTGAGGGAGAGCCGTATACTTTATGGAACATCCGCGATCTTGCACGCCATGCTGGCTTAAGAGTTGTCACGAGCTTCAAGTTCCCATGGGCCAGCTACCCGGGATATTCCCATGCGAGAACTCTAGGGGAGGTGGAAGGAAAGGATGGGGAGAGGGCAGGATGGAAAGGTGAGGACAGAGAGGCAAGGAGCTATGTATTTGAACGGAAAGGCTTCGAGGGCTTGGTTCGAGATACGGGGAAGAGAAAGAAAAAGAAGGGCGGGAGTGACGATAGCGAGAGCGATTGAAAAGGTGGACAGCATACCTAGTATTGAAGATACATGGGCTGTTGGAGGAAGTCCTGGATATGTGCTTGGGGGTCCGCTCTTCTCAAGAAAAGTGATATTTGGCAAGCATTGACTGGATTGCAAGGAGAGGGAGTCCCGTCGCTGAGAGGGAACAGCAGCGCGAGAGATTGGAAACCTATATCCATAAATGACAAAGACATATTTTATGCCCACGGTGGTTTGTCTACACCACAGAATCCCCAATGCTGCCGGTCCGAAAAACGACCTTGAAAATATCATCTTGGTATGGTTAGGAGTTGTCTAAGACGACGGGTACAAATGTTATCGTGTTGATGGATAATTGGCATTGGGTTTTATATCCTGCTCCTCGTACTTGAGCCCAAGGCTATCGACCACTACAAGTGATTATCTTTTCCTTGAACATGCGGAATCGAAATGCAGCACCTCGAATCGGGGTTATCAGCATTTCTCTCATCGCTATGATGATAGTGCGACTCCGCAGCACTTGACTACTATAGGAGCTTTATCCATTTATTGTGAATAATTCAGTCACGCACATAACTATATAGTCTGCATTGCTGAGATAAATGTATATACCAATGTCTTATCAATAGTCAAAAGAAAAGAAAATTGAGTGGACCTTCGATACCCGATATTCTTTGGAAACTTACTTGCCCCAAACTCCTTGCATGCAACAGTGCAGTACCAGTGAATCCCTATGATATATATACCTTCTTAACCTCCGATTCGTCGAAAATGTCACCAGTGAAAGGATCCTTAACCTTTCCCTCCGGGACGCCAGCTTTTTTACTCAGATCAGACAAGCGACCCATGCCATATATCCTATGATTTGGAAGCACAACCGGGTCAACCTCAACAGAGCTTTTCGTATGATGAGCGTAAGGCACATTTTTCGCTAGATCATTAAGTTCAGTTGAGCAGATAGGACAGATGGACGTGCTCAAGGAATTCGGATTGGCCCTAGACGAAGCATTCACGGAGTGGCATGATGGTGTTTTGAGCGCCGAGAGACCGGCGGAGAGAGCGATCTGGAGAAGCGGACGAGAAGACAGCGATAACAAATCATGGTGTGTGCGGATAAATAGATTCGAAAGATACTGCCAGCGGTCTAGAGAGTACATGCTCTGAGTTGCAATACATGTTAGCCAAAGCCGCCAGCGAGTGTATCTCATGACAATACCTTGTATGGCTCAGCTCGAGTATGAGGAGGATAGACTAAGAGCCCTGCAGCACGTTGAATATCCTGTGCCTGAGATTCGCTGTGAACAGTGAGGAATTTCTTTGCGTGCTGTCTTGCCTCTGCTTTGTCTCCTACTCTCAGCATTTCGATGTATTGCTGCAATCTCAGCTCGAACTCTAGGCGATTCTGTAACGGAGATTCATCAACCCTTGCTCTCATTTCAGGGAAACTCATGATAAAACGTACCTGAATCTTTTTCAAAGCAACTTTGTTCTCTCCGCACCATTGAAGAGCCTCCTTAGCATCGCCCCGGCGAAGACTGTCCGCGATTCGTTGACACTGGGCAAAGACGTTCAAGTCCACAAGATCAGTAATCCCTTTATCCTCAGCAAGCTGCTTAGCACTTTCTAGATACCCAGAGCGGAGCATATGGTCGGCTAATAGCCGATTCAAGCGTGTTCTTGACCATTGCTCATATTTGACGTCTGCTAGGCTTGGGATCTTGTACAAATCCTGTATGTACTGTATTCTCTTTTGAGACTGGGTAGCAATTTTTTTCTCCTCCTCGTGCAAAGCCTCCATCTTCCGTTTCAGCCCCTGCATTCGTGCTATCATCGCATCTAGGGCTTCGATCGTTTGGGAGGGGCTCTGGCTGCCAGATAATGATGCGTTGGCGGTTTCTTTCAGGGAAGGGATAATATGATCTTTTTCCCGCTCGACAATGCGTTGAACTGACTTAAAATTTCGGCGGGCAAGCTCATATGGGACGCGGAGAAGAGGTTGATCCTGTGTGAATCGCAGTCAGTTCGCTGTCTTCACCCAGTGAACAAGAGCTTCGAAGTACCAGGAGGAGGTGATTGTCAGGGTTGAGCTTTATGGAAGTTAGTTCCGCGGCCATTTTGCGCAAGATCCGACAAGACACTGAGCTCCAGAGTCCGAAATTATAGCCTGTGGAGGTGTGTGTGAGAAGAGCAGAGGTTGAAGCGAACGACAGCAGAGGTCGAGTAGCAGGTGACCACTCAATGCGGGAGTGACGGTCGCTTCTCCGCATGGCATGACATAATGCCAGCACGCGGTATTTTACCGCTTTGAGGGGAATAGATTACCGGCCGGAAGATCAATTGGCCGAGTATACTAGTTGATTACGTAATTACAGGCCAGAGGCCACAGTTCGCGTTTTCGCTTTTAAGCTGTTGAAACTGCTTTTCTCTCTTCTTTCTTCCCACAATGATAAGCATGAACAATGTCCAGTTCATCAACTTGCGCTAACTAGAGCAGAGTGAAAGGAAAAGTATTTCATTACAACTTCTGATCTCACAATGGATCAATTCTGGGATATGCCGCCAGTGGCCAGGCATGTTCCTCCTTTCCTGTTTCCTGGGTGATGAGCTCTTGACTAACAAGCAACATGTAGGACTATGTTCGGCTTCACTTTTATTCAATCCACCTTGGTCCACGGTCGGATTCTTAACGGATATTGGTCTATATTCGCACCATCATTGATCTTTAAAAAGTTCCCAGAAGTCTGGAGATTTGTGACTCCTTATTTTCTCACCCGTGGTGGCCTTGGATATATTTTTGATCTCTATTGCTGTATGGCATGGTAGAATGGCTGCACTCGCTGTATCATCCTCACTGATGCTCTTGCAGTGTACACATACGGTACGGCCTTGGAGACGGAATCGCCTCGTTTCCATACTTCGGGTGACTTCCTCACATATGTTGTATTTGTAGCCACTGTGATCCTGGTGAGTGAGCTGTTCGCACTTAACCATGAGCCGTCGCGTTTTCCTATTTATCGCAATTAAATGCACCTCGGATAATCTGCCCGCCCAGCCTATTACTATCTAGCTGAAGCGGTTCCTGGAACTGAGGAAGATTGCCCCTGCACTTCATACACTCCTATCATTCGCAAAAGTCAATCTCGGGATGTATGCGGTGTAGGCATGGTGGGATTGCCCTGAACAATGACCAACGTGAGATTCAGTTCACATTGGGCTGTTTAGGCGCCCTACATACTTTTCATTTTCCTTCCCCTTGTTTTTTTTTTATTTGTGGTTCTGGTTACCCATGGCGAGACCTGAGGCCGCAGCCTTTTTATGAGGTCGTTATGCAAGGTAAGCTGACGGGTTCTACAGCCTTTAGTAGGATTCTTAATGAAGTCTGGCACATTCATTCAAGGTACGAATGAGGAAAATCAGAAGGGGACCATTATCACTAACGTTGCCAGCGCTACTTATGGCCTTTATTTACACTTACGCGCAAGATAATCGAGGCAAAAAGACCACATTTTTCTTTGTGCAAATTCGGGTAGAACTTCTCCCCTGGGTTATGCTCTTCATCACATGGATTATGTCTGGTGTCTACTATGTGATAATAGAATGCTGCGGAATTGTCGCTGCGCATCTCTATGACTTCTTGACCAGAATCTATCCCACATTCGGTGGAGGCAGAAATATTATCCACACTCCAGCTTTTGTGCAGCGCTTCTTTGCTGTCCCTGGTCCAAGGGCTGCCCATGGTGGTTACCGGATTGATCCAAGAGAGGCACCGGGAGCAAGGACTCAACCCTCGAGCGGTGGACTGTTTTCGGGGGGTGCGTGGGGCAATCGAGGGCCCGGTAGACGCTTAGGCGGCAATTAGGTCTGTTGCCAGAAAATGTGTAAGAGTACGGGTTGTGTAGACAATGTTAGGCGCGCAGAGACAATTAATTGACAATGCTTTGCTATCTTGAAATAATTATCTGTTTCTTGAGCTCAATATTGCGCAGTCGGTCCGGGCCGCCAGCTGCAGCCACACGCGCCAGTAGCAGTCCGATTACATAAGCGCCCGACTCTAACAAGCGAAGGAAACGAAAGTTTTGAAAGATTTCGAGGGCAAAAGAAAAAGCGAAACGAGGCACCGAGAGCAACAATCTCCCTGACGAGTGCTGGTCAAGACTTCTGCCGTTTTCGTCTGGATCGCAGCTGTCTGAATTTCCTCTTTCCTCGATTTTGCTCGTCGTGCATCATGGCAACCAGCAAGAGCGACGTCGATTTCAGCATCAAGCCGGAGGCGGTGACACCCCCAATCCCGACCTCAGAATGGCCGTTGCTACTGAAGAATTATGATAAATGTATGTCAATATCAGTTTTGACGTAGAATACCGTTAATCTCGTCAATCTCCCTTTTACTCCATTGAGAATTGTGTCTAACAATGATGCAAATTCACAGTGCTCGTGAGAACTGGGCATTTTACTCCGATCCCAGCAGGATGCACCCCTTTGAAACGTGATTTGAAGTCGTATATCAGCTCTGGTGTTATCAATCTCGATAAACCGTCGAATCCTTCCAGCCACGAGGTGGTTGCGTGGATGAAAAGAATTTTACGGTACCTATTGCGTCCCCGTTGCACCGTAGAATCTTAGTCTAGTGAGTTTGGCCTGACAATATTGATTGCTACAGGGTTGAAAAAACCGGCCACAGTGGAACTCTGGATCCTAAAGTCACAGGATGTCTTATCGTCTGTATCGACCGCGCTACGCGTCTCGTTAAGTCTCAGCAAGGAGCCGGAAAGGAGTACGTTTGTGTGATTCGACTACATGACAAGATTCCGGGGGGCGAAGCTCAGTTTGCGCGAGCTCTTGAAACGTTGACTGGTGCGCTCTTCCAACGACCACCGTTAATCTCGGCTGTCAAGCGTCAACTACGTATTCGTACGATCCACGAGAGCAAGCTGTATGAGTTTGATAATGATAGACATTTGGGTGTGTTTTGGGTTAGCTGTGAGGCCGGCACATATATCCGAACACTGTGTGTGCATTTAGGGTTGCTCCTTGGGGTAGGTGCACACATGCAGGAACTAAGAAGAGTCCGCAGTGGTGCCATGGATGAGAAGGACGGGATGGTGACGCTACATGACGTTCTTGATGCCCAATGGATGATGGATAACAACCGCGACGAGTCCTATTTAAGACGAGTAGTTCGGCCGCTCGAGAGCTTGTTGACCACTTACAAGCGTGTGGTGGTTAAGGATAGCGCCGTCAATGCCGTCTGTTATGGAGCTAAATTGATGATTCCTGGATTGCTTCGTTTCGGTAAGTGGAACTCGATGCGTCGTAGAGACTGTGGCTGACATATCCTAAACAGAGGCTGGCATTGAAGTTCACGAAGAGGTTGTTTTGATGACCACCAAGGGAGAAGCTATCGCTCTCGGCATCGCACAAATGTCTACCGTCGAAATGTCCACCTGTGACCATGGTGTTGTTGCAAAGGTCAAGCGTTGCATCATGGAGCGAGATTTGTACCCGCGACGATGGGGTATGGGCCCAGTTGCCCTTGAGAAAAAGAAAATGAAGGCAGATGGCAAACTCGATGTAAGTCATTTTCAAACACCTTGACAAGTGGCATACTCTAATTTCCGTAGAAATTTGGTCGAACCAACGCCTCGACACCAGCAAAGTGGCAAGCAGAATACAAAGACTACAATTCCTCAGCGGATACCGCTGCCGAGGCTACCCCGGTTGCTCCAAGAGAAGCCCCCGCGACAACAGCTGGTGATGCGTCATCTCCTGCCCCAGAGGAAGATAAGGAAGACGCCAAAAAGCGAAAGAGAAATGACGGTGAGACCCCAGAAGAGCGCGAGGAGCGCAAACGGCGAAAGAAGGAAGAAAAAGAAAAGCGAAAACAAGAGAAAAAGGAAAAGAAAGAGAAGAGAAAGTCCAAGCAAGCCGAGGACAGTGAATCCGAGTGATTTAACTCTGGTATGCGTTTACTTCGTTCTTGGGTTCGTGTATCATATTTTGGAGTCCCGGGTTCGAAAAGGAGGTTCTATTTCATATTTGAAAGTTGGGATCCAAGTATTGGTTTGAATGTCTCTTGCGAGCTATTGGTGTATCATGGTCTCTATCTATCTTGCGACGAAATATGAGTTATAAAATACAATTCATAAGTCCTTAATTTTTGGTCCTTTGGGATTTCGCTTCGGCTACTCTGTACCTAGTACGCATCACATACCCAAAGGGAGATGTAAAGGGAGATGGTTGGTTCACACTCACGCACGCGAGGTTAGGCTGGCTTCTTGGATAGCCATAACTGGTTATGGATCACAGCTTTGGGGTGGCAGCTGTGGACTCGTCACGCCGTTCAAGCGATTTGGTCCCAATTGTCCCCTTGACTGCCATCCCACCATCGGCCCGTTCAATCCAAACATCCCACAAGTCGCCATGCGCGGTCTCTTTTGACTTTGCGCACACAGTTAGCGGTTGCTCAACTAGAAGTGGAGCCAAGTTTCGATATTCGATACTAGATATTACGCGGTTAGACGTTCTGAGATGGTCCTGGACCAGCATGAGCATCAGGGTCAGTGTCAGAGGCCCATGGACAAGAAGATCGTCATATCCCTCCGTGTTGCGGGCATAATCGCGATCGAGGTGGATGGAGTGTGCGTTGAACGTAAGAGCGGAGAAGCGGAAGAGAAGGGCGCGAGATGGAGTGAAGGTATGGCGGAGTGTTGGGCTCGAGGGGGCTGTCAACAGGGCAGTCAGCGGTTGTGTTGATAGCAATATTTCGGATTTCTCACCTCGAAGAACGCGCTTCTGTGAATTTCCCCGGCTTTTCTCCATGCTGACCTGGTCTGGGGTTTTATCCCGCATGAATACCAGGTTCCGTTTCTCGATCACGACGGCATCTCCCCATTCTTCCTCTCTTGCCGTCCATAGCTTCCTCGTTATGTTTTCTTCGCTCTCGGTTTCTGCAACCGTCGCTATTCGCCTTTCAATTCCAACAAACACCTTTTCTTCTCCTTCCCTGCCAATCACTCGCACGTCCCTGACTCCCTCCAGGCAGACTGCGCGTTGGCAGTTCAGTAGCGGCCCACCATTCTGATCGCGAAAGCGAACTGAGCCTCCTGCCCACATGCGGCGATTGAATGGTGCCCCTGGAGAATGCAACATGTCACATCCATCTGGCACAAGCTGTGATGAAGGGAGCTGCGGCGGGAAGTAGACTAGATGATGCCCTCGCGGCATATGCCCCGGCTGTAGGACGGATGGAAGGGAAAACGCGTTCGCATTCTTCTCGAATTGCTTAGATTCGGGTAAATTCAACGGGTCAGAGAGCGAGACGCGAAGGAGATGTGACGGCTGCGGGGAGAGATAGTCGTAGCTGAGAAACAGTCGTTGGTTCAGGAGCTTCTCCTCGAGGTGCGACAACAAAGGCGACGCTGTGGAAGATCGACGGCTCTGGCTGGAAAGGCCGTTGACCAGCGTCCGGCCACTTCTCCCGGCAAGCTGTCTCATATTGTCTCCTTTCTTGATCGCCGTCATCGGGACCAGCTGTCTTTCTCTGCTTCTTTTGGGCCCATGAGATGCGGGGTTTCGCCTCGTCTTTTAGTGAGACTTAAAACGACCAACCTACCTTTCGGCAGTTTATGATCTCACATCGCCAGTGAATGAAACTTCTATAAAAAAACTTATCAAGGGAGGTTAGAATGCAATGAGATTTCGTTTCCCGCAAATAATGGCCTTTTTACAGTCTCCAGCGCTCTCGTCAGCAAGCAAGCTGCGCGTTGCATTTCTTGGTCCGCTGGGATCATTCTCTCACGAGGTCAGAGAAACATCTTCTGTTATACGGAGTACATCCTGTTACTTCCAATCGCGCCAACGGAAAACTACCAGGGGGTTTGTTAGCTGACTATCCACTCCCACCTAGGCCGCTGTAGCATCCTTTGGCTCCGAAGCTCTCCTACTCCCGCAGTCGTCCTTCCACGATGCGTTTGCCGCAATCCAGTCAAACAGCGCCGATTATGCCGCCATCCCGCTAGAAAACTCGAGCAACGGTGCTGTTGTTCAGACATACGATCTGCTCGCTGACCGTGAGAAATTATATGGCGACATAACAATATGCGGAGAGTACTATCTGGCGGTTCACCATTGCTTGTTGGTGAAGCAGAGCGGCAACAAGAGCTCCCTGGGTGTTCCTAAAGACATCACCACTGACGCTCGCTACAAGTCGATAACCAAGCTCTACACACATCCGCAAGCGTGGGGCCAATGTGAGAAATTCCTATCAAAACACTTCAAAGGAGTCGAGAGACAGGACGTCTCATCGACCTCAAAAGCGGCGGAAATCGTTTCCCAGGAGACCGACGGTCATGGGGCTGCAATCGCAAACAAATTCGCTGCAGAGTATCACAAGTTAGATATTCTAGCCCAGAATATCGAAGATAATCCAGAGAATACAACTAGATTCTTACTGCTACGAAACAAAAAGGCTCAGAACACCGCGCAGTGCAACCGTGAACCTCGACAGAGTTTGGGCAAGCCGAAACACAAAACTCTGATGTCTTTTATAGTCGACCACAACTCGCCTGGCTCGCTGGCTGATGCGCTTGTCATATTCAAACAACACGGGATGAACCTCACGACCATCAATTCTCGCCCGAGCGGTATTCACCCTTGGCAATATGTATTTTTCGTCGAGTGCCAGCCAACCTCTGAAACCTGGTCTGACGACTTGATGGACAACGTAATTGAGGATTTAAAAGCTGTGACAAAGTCGTCTAGACACCTCGGAAGCTGGAGTGATGCGCTTGGTTCGAAATAAAACATGGGAACCTCACTTATTTAGATAGGGATCGAATTCGCTTTGGAATATTTTCTATTAATCAATTTCGGGACATGAGCTAGACAAAATATTGGATACCAGAATTTAATGAAAGTCTTAATTGGAAAAGAAGATGAAACTTCAACGCAGAAATAGGACAAGCAATCATGAGTGGAACGAGTGACGAGTTTGCTAGTTTAGTTAACTCAAGGCGAGACGACCGGAGACAACATTCTAGCCGACTACATTCGTTCACAATCCGGGAAACTTCCTAACCGTATTGCTAATTCAACGAAGGCCAAAGAGCATACGGAAATGGTTCAATCTGGCGCGATAACAGAACTCCCTAGAGTGCACTAATCAGCCCCTTTCAAACCGATTAATTACAGTTCGACACGGTTCTGAGCTTGGATGGCCCTGGAGACACAATGTTAGCTTTTCCTATTGAGATGTCCGTAGAACTTGGTTGTTTACCTCTTAGGAGCTTTGAGCTAGTCGGAGTAAATGGACTTGGATTCCCAATGGCGGTTCCATTGGAGTACCCGTTAACTTCGTGGACACGACTCGACGGGCGAGCCGTCAGAACATCCGCCGACTGGATATCTGGGCTACCATCCTCGCTCTCTGCGAGGTCGCTATACCGTCAATCTGCCCAGTATTATTAGCATTGCACACTAGTTATGAAGATATAGAGCAACTCACCGTCATAGAACTCATCTTCGTCATCAGAATAATCAGCAAGTTGTTCAAAATTGACTTTGTATCTAAGAATCGCTCCGATTCCACCAAAGCCTTTCACAAACTGGTTGCCTTCTGTGGATTTGTCGGAAACGAACTCCAGGGTCGCACCAAAATCCTTATATTTTTCGGCAAGCCATTCAAGAAGTGGACCTTGCTCAACGATATCCATTTCTTGATTAGTGTCCTTATCCATGAACATTTCTCTGTTGGACTCTTGGGCTTTAGTCGTGTGAAGGACAATCTCGGTACCGTCGGAAGCTTTAAGGCTCCATCGTGTGATGTCCAAGTTCTCGTATACAATCAGCGTTTCTGCAGCACCGAGTTCCAACGCTTTCAACGTATCGTCGACTCCGTAGCAGACTCGGCCGGTATCTTGACTGATCTCTTCAAAATATTTCCCAATGAGTTTCTTTTCTTGGATGAATTTGACATTGCCTAGAGTTTCCGCAGCCAGTTCAATAGCTTGGTTGAACCCGTTCTCTCCACCGTAAGACACATCCACAACTTTGATAACCTTTGTCTGAAGGCGGTTGTCGAACATATCAGACTGGTTGAGATCGTTCTTGAAATCGGCGGAACCCGCGAGAACCAGACCGGCAACATTGACTTTATCACTAGAAATGAAGTTTTGTACCGCCAGTTCCGCAACTTTTCGAACGTAGTTGTGACGTCGCTCTTCTCGGAGACGGGAAAAACGAAGGGCAGACTGACCACCACGGGAATGCTTTTTGGGCAAATCGACAGAAAACTTATGCAGGACATCCCTGGTATTACCGCTCAACGTGCCAAAAAGAGCGCCGTTACCATCCATGACGATAAACCCAAACTTCTGGTCAGACTCGAGCAATTCACTCAGGGCTTCGGTGTGGAACTTGTTATCACAGAGGTAGAGCGACGTGTTGATAGGCTTAAACGGTTCGAAGTCGATGTTGATCTTCCGTTCCTTTCCTTCCGATGTGATGATTTCACCGCAGTAGATAACAAGACCATTCGGAGGCACTTTGTTATAGAGCTTGAGACGCTGCTGTGTTGAGGTAATAGCCGACAGGACAGACAAACGGTTAACACGGGATTTAATGTTGGACGCAGTTCCCTGTCCCAGAGGTTAGCACGATTCAGCCACAAGTTAGCCTGGAGGTCAACGCACAAATTCTTCAGCCAACATCTTAGCTGCACGTGAGACCTGATCCTTTGGAGCTGTAGAGGGTTATCAGTTCAGCCCTATCACCCACACCAGCAATTCACAGTGGTTCACGCACGGATAATCAAGGGAAATCATCGACGTTCCATTTCCACGCGCCGGCTTCCGAGCGGCTTAATCAGCTTTTTCACCTTTCCATATCTCAATATTCTTCTCCGCCTCGTTCGCTGGGCCCGCGGCTCATCCTGGCGACGTTGGACTCCGCGGACCAAAACCGAATGCAGCTCTCTCGTGTCGACAACTGGGTCGGTGAGCGAGTCAGCCCACGCGGGCCCTCAGAGACACGTAGCAAAGGGGTCCTAGGGTTGGTTGAGTGTAAAACGCACCTAGATAACTTGTCACGCTGTCTGGATGTTGTCGAGGTTGAGTTTTTTTCGTTGGCAATTGTGGGGGTTTAAAGGAGGGACGTCAGAGCGGCTTATGTCAGCCGTTCCTGCGCCACTTTGGCGGTCACAAGTGGATTCGATCTATAAAGCTACCGTACAATTTATTTACTGAGAGTCAAAAGCTCCGGCTATTTTGGATCTGTTGTACAAAGAAGTGCGCTGCAGCCTTGAGAGCTGCTGCAACACGCGACACCTTCATTACGTTGCAATAGGCACCGTACCAAATACCCGCGTCATTCCAACGGTCCTTTGGCATTCACAGCACTCGAAGAGGTGACGCACAGTGGACGGTACCTTCGGTCAAACCTACTGTGTCCCTTTTCCCTCGCGTAAAGTTATGCGATCGGCATTTCCGGTTTCCGAGGAACCATGGCCTTAACTCCTGAAAGTTTTGTCGCAGCTTTTGAAAGGATGCGCCGTCAGCAGCATTCGAGAAGCTCTGAAGATTGTCTCTAGCACTAGTGAATTGTAGCTTTGCCAATGGCATTGGGACATGCTAGTTTGCGTCTTTTGCGGGTTTATATACAACTGTGAAGTTGTTCCTGGTCACTCCAGGGTTTAGCATTTCTTTTTTGAACTCGCGGCGCTGGGGATGCACAGGGCGTTCATATTTCCAAAGCTGATATATAAGTTTCGATGTCAATTTCCTTTTGAGCATCGTGTACCCCAGGCTCGACATTATAGCCTGTAATCTATTCTCCGTAAAATATCGAGAGTTCAAGATACAGGGGGCCGGTAGAACAAGAAATAAGCACGGGAGCAAGTCGCCATGACTGGGTGTTGGGGGCGTCGAGTCTAAAAAGGCCGTTGTCCGCCAAAGCATTTCTCCGCGAGTTGTAGGATCGGGCACAAAATTCAGGACCAAAGACAGGCTGATAACATGAAATCTTTCGAGATCGCTTGTAGGCAAGGGCCTCTCCATAAAATCTTGCTCTAGAATGCCAGGTTCCTGGGAATGGAGATCAATCCTAGTAACGTCGATGGAGTTGACGGCTGAGCAAGCATTTCTGGTAGATAGCGCACCGACTTCAAGCAAACGAAGTCGGGATTTGCAGCCCTTCAACCGATCCAATTCAGGCTTCAGCCATTCAATGAGAACCTTGCTGGAATCGCCGCCTCGGTCTTTCGACTGCCCCTTCTTGCTGGCCAATTGATAGCTTTCAAGCCCACCTAGAGCAGCAATCTTCTTGTCGAGCTCGCCAACTAGGTCCGCGTTGCCGTCCGCGAGAGCTCGGGCGCGCGACTTTTGGAGTTGATGGTGCGATCGGATTAAATTCCTCGTTGCCTTTGCCGAAAGGGAGGCAGCAGGCTTGTGGACTGTCGGAGGCCTGCCATGGGAGAGCGATTTCGGTCGTTTGTTCCGCGATATTTTGCCCATGGTTCGTCGGATCCATATCATTAGCCAGTTTATGTCCTCCAAGGCTGGCCAGTCATCCTGTTTTTAGTCCATTCCCTGGCGTCCCAACTCCCGTTTCCCTCGAAAAAGAATTTGGTGGGGAGGATGGATGGATAAAGTCTGATATATCCATTTTGGGAAAGGCTTGGAATGACGCGTAGGATTACTAAGCATCGTAATTCGCAGATCATGTGACGCACATTCAGGGTTTGGCAAACTAAGCGAGAAAGTCGGATGGCTGACGAGGGAAGAAACCAGTGGAAGAGAGACCGACTCTTGCGACAACAACCAACGACGCCGTCAATCAGCAGCCATGGCACCAAAGGACAGCAAGACAGGTGGGCAATCTCCCCGTTTATTCAGAATTTCGGCGGTGTCGTGTCGTTCTTCCCGCCGGGCGCGAGACTTGGGAGATCGATGCACTCTGCTTATCATTTGTGTGGACATTTTAACTGATGTGGATGTGGTTACAGGCAAGAAGCCCAGCGCTAAGGCTGGCTCTGCGGCAAAGGCGGTGCTTAAGGGGGTACGTTGACTCGGGAAATTTCGCTCGAGATGCGATATACTATGCTGGGAAGAAATTGGCGACTAAAAGTGCCATGCAGGTTCACTCTCACAAGGTCAAGAAGGTCCGCACATCGACTACCTTCCACCGACCAAAGACCCTTCAGTTGTCGAGATCCCCCAAATACCCCCGCAAGTCCATCCCCCATGAGACTCGTCTCGACCACCACAAAGTCATCGTCCACCCATTGAACACCGAGAGTGCTATGAAGAAGATCGAGGAGAACAACACCTTGGTCTTCATTGTGGACGTCAAGGCGAACAAGAGACAGATCAAGCAGGCTATCAAGAAGCTCTATGACGTGGACACCGTCAAAATTAACACATTGATCAGGTACGTTGTGCTGAAGCGGGAGGGCGGGGGTGTACGCTCTCGAGGTTGGACCGTTGGTTTCTGGAAGCTAACGATGTATCTTTATCAGACCCGATGGATCAAAGAAGGCTTTTGCACGGTTAACAGCGGATGTTGATGCTCTGGACATTGCGGCGACAAAACTGGCTATTGTTTAATGGATGGGACGAACTATTTCATTCTGGTGTTCTCAAAGACGTCGATCGGTTTTATGTTTGCAATCATATTTAGGCAATGGAACAGAGATTGACGCTTGATGCCCCAATTGCGCTTCCTTCAAGACGCCGGTTTCAAACCAAGAATACACGCGCTGCTCAGAACCACCATGACTGGGCTGAAGCTTGATCACTGTGACTAGAAAGCGTATTAATTTTCCAGCTCTAAATAGGAAAATGGAAAAGAGAATACGGAGTATTCTTCCCGCATTCCGTAAAGATCCCTTAATTTTCTAAACAATTGGCTAAAAGTGCCGTTGTCGTTGAAGCCCGCGCTTTGTAGAAGCTATCACGAACCTTCAAGGACAGTACAGAGTAGATTGGGTCATAACGGCATTTGTGGAAGAGTACCCTGCATACTATCAGTTAGCAGTGGCCGTGACTCGCAGGACCCTTTATTCTCCGTTGAATTCGCATCTCGCCGATCTAGACTCGCCGTGCATGCAGGCGCGCGCGGCCAGCCAAACCACAGCGCCAAGCCCGCCCCCCCAAGACTGCCAACTCACAGCCGCGCTCCACCGCCAGCCCACTTCTTCTTCTTCATCGCCAGCTCGCATCCTCGAACCCGTCACACCAACTCTCTCGCATCCCCGTTCCTCGCCCCGATCTCTCATTCTCCCTTCCATCGTTATCAATCGCGAATCCTCCACGTCCGTCGTTTCGCTGAGCCTGCGGTTCTTTCTATGTCCGCCAGAACCCACTCTCGCGCCCCCGCTTCTCGCTCTTACCGCTCTTTGCGCCTGGGCGCTTCGACTGCAGGATCTCCAGCCCGTCATTGGATTGTCCGCAAATTTATTCTGGATTTTTTCGTGCACGACGCGTCAAATCGCACGATTTACGTGCTTCGGTGATAATCAGCCCTGTTCCCGTCGTTTTCAAGATGAATTCGACGCGACGCCCGCCGTTGCGCATATACCAGGATCCTCCACCCGGCCAGCCCTCCACCCATCCATCCACCCAACACTCGTTGGCTCAACCCAAACAACTCCAGCCATCTCCAATGCCTCTTCAGTACGCGCAGAATGTGAACGCGAATCGAAATGTCGTGCTAGATCCCCCGGCGAAAGACCCTCATCCGCACTCACCAGTCAAGACTCAGCCGAAACCAAATGCGCCTGGTTCTGGACAGGGCAAACTGGGTTACGTCCCCATCTCAGCACCGCTTCCTGCCAAACCTCCTGCAGTCTCTCCTGCAAAGAAGCCGCAATACTATATGTATCCTACCAACCCCGTGCAACAGGCGCGACAGCCGTTGTTCACCACCTTTTCCAGCGTCCCGGACCCTCGACCACAGCTCCCAGCGAAGCCAATCATCCATGAAACCTTTACGAAAGTGGCTGCTCAGGCCAATCAAGCTCAAAATTCTATGAAGCGCACCCTTTCGGATAGTACTGCTGGGAAGGATCGTACATCGAAGAAACAAAAACGCGAAATCAAGTCTGTTGTTCAGCTACCCGAGCCGCACGAATTGCCGCCTGTCGAGGACGATGGCACAAAGCCACCGTTCAGTTACGCGATCCTCATCGGCATGGCGATCTTACGCGCGCCCAATCGACGCTTGACGCTTGCTCAGATTTACAAATGGATTTCAGACAACTTTTCATTCTATCAGTCTGGCGATTCTGGCTGGCAGAACAGCATCCGCCATAACCTTAGTTTGAACAAGGCATTTGTCAAACAAGAGCGCCCCAAGAATGATCCTGGCAAGGGCAATTACTGGACCATTGTACCGGGAATGGAACTTCAGTTTCTCAAGGAACGGCCAATCAACCGTCCACCCATCATGTCGACGCTTCCTCTGACCCATGTTGCACGCATTCCACGCCCGCAACCGCAACCTCCGTCTCAGAGAGTCGAATTTCAACCAAGCGTTGCGAGCGTGAAACCCCCGATGCCGCCACCGAATCGCGCCAACCCATCCCCCCAGGACCTTTCTTCTGATGCAACTATTCCGGCGTCAGATCCAGCACTTTTAGAAGACAGCGGAGAGGAAATCGGCTCGAATTTGCACCCAGCAACTATTGCTCCACGCTCATCTCCCCTTCAAACTCTCCATTCTTCCCCTCCTGTTCCACCTCCTGTGTTCCGACGTGAGACTACACCACCAACCCCGTCCCGCCCTTCTACTGCTACAGCTCCTGCTCCTCTTCCTGCACCTGCTGCTGTACCTGTTAGTGGACTTGGATCACGCTCGAGGAAGCGCAAGATGTCCCTCATGAATGATAGCGGTTATTTTTCCTCTTTGGAATCTTCTGCTCGGAGACAGAAAACTCAACATATCATGACTTCTGAGTTGGATATCGAGCCTCCGCGAATCAAAGCTGGGCGCGCTGAAGAAGAGATTGCACGGATTCGAAGCTCCTCACATGATATTAGCCCCATGCGCTGCGCCTCCTTTAAAGATACCATTCACCTATTGGGTTCATCGCCGCTGCGCAACGAATTTATGCCAATGGTAGCTCCGCCGTTGACTCCTGCATTTAAATTCAAGAAGCCGCTGAGACCACCACCGTCTCTTTCGCCAAATACCAATCTCCGCAACCATCGCAAAAAGATTCAGCAGATGGTCAATTCCCCAATCAAACATTTGGGTTTAGGTGATGATGTTCTTCCTTGGAGCCCAGCATTCAACATCCAAGACGAAGCCTTGATACACGATACTTTGACCGGTGCGCCTTTGTTCGATATCTTTTCAGACAATTTCGGTCCTTCTATCTCTACTCCAACTTTAGGTTCACCCGAAAAGCGCTCTGCAAAACGTGACCGACTCAATGCTAGTGTGCTCGCGGATATCACAGCTGTGAGCGGAAACACTCGCCTCGGCACTCCACTATCACGTCTGTCAAGGTCTAAAGCCATGAAATATCATGAATCCCCGTGCAAACGGGCCGATACCTATGTGGACAACTCTCATGAGGATCTATTCTCTTTCAACCTTTTCAGTGAAGACGCACCCGGAGAAGCCGACGGAATTGATCTTCTCCAAGGTTTTGAAAAAATTGGAAAGTCTACCAAGGACGAACAATCCCCCAGACAAGTTCTTGGAAATGGGCGAAGAAACATTGGACAAAGATAATGGGCAAAATACCCGTCGCTCCTTGAAATATTTCTTGGGCACAATCTCTTTTACTGCCGAATTGGGTCTACCATTAACTTTTTTGAGTCTCAAAAATTTTGTACCTCATATTTCTCCCTTTTTGCTTGCTTTTTGATACTTTTGTCATTTATATGGGCCCCCGGGACTACTTACGTCCTGCTGTGTGGCTCATGTATATGTTTTGGTGCTTCTGTCATTTGATACGGACCCCCAGGACGTTTTAGCGTCCTGTTGTGTGGTTCATCGCCTCGGTGTTTATGCCTCTGTCAATTGATACGAGCCCCCGGAGCGTTTCGGCGTTCTGTTGCGTGGCTTGTATCTTTTTCGTATGGTCCTACAATTGATGCTTTGGTGTTTTGTTGTTGTTAGCTCATTGATTTGTTTCACTCTATTTTTGTCGGTATTTTGCTTGCCTCGTTCTTGTTTTATTGTTGCATGGTTGCGCGTCAGGTGTATGCCGTTCGCCTGGCGTTTATCACATTCATTTTTTCTGCAAGGCGTTCGAAACCAGATCGGGATGTACGGGGCGGTAGGCGGTCACAACTTCTTCCTTCGCGACATTGGGATTCTACGGTCATTCGAATAAAAAAGGATCAGGGTCGGAGTTTTGAAAAGCGCCGTATGGGTACGCGCATGGGAGTCGAGAGATGTCACGGCGTCGTTTGTTCTGGCGTGGTGTTTGACGAGCTCGCTTGGGTGGCCTTTTCTTGCTCCATGTGTTGGTCTTCCCTTCTGCTGGTAAATATTTTCCAAAGCGAGTTTTTGTTTTATGTTGGAGTGGGATGGAAATATTGAATTATTGGTGGAAAAAAAGAAAAAACTCTTTTACATATTGGGGCCATGACTCTGATGATAATGTCTGATGTACAGGATTACGGGATATGAGCTATTGTTTTGACAATTCTTCTGTTGATATTCGCTGACTGCAAAGTACAAGTTTTTTTTAACTCGAATCAATTAATATTTCTGCTGCTGATGGCTTATTTTTTATTTTGTGATTGGGAAATATGAAGCTTGCTGAGACTGCAGAAAGAAAGGAAGCTTATAAGACTGACTGTATAAAAGCTCAATATCTAAAAGCAGCTGAAAAGGCTGCTAAGACTGCTTAAAGAGAAGCTCAAAAAATAGAAAGATAGCAAGAACTTCTACTGGTCTGGAGAGTCAGGGGTCTCCAGCTATAGATCTTACTACTATAAAATCAAATCTGAAGAACATCTCTAGCCATCCCACGTCATGGCTATCGGGGATTGTCCCACAATATCTAGCCAGGCCCTTCCTCCCGCAGAGTCAGCAACCTTTCTCAAGTCTTCGTTTTTCTCACGCAACGGACCGGGAGCTGAGCTGCCATCCCCCGCGAACGTTCGTGAACAGGGCGCGGTACAGGACCCAGCGTCCAAGGGCCGTGACTTTGGTTTTCAACCTGTCCGTTATGAACAGCTCGGCCTGATTGTGAAGTACGGCCGCGCTCCTCAGGTTACGGTGGCTGAGGGCCAGTCGCTCTGGGCGCTTCGTCGCGTCTTGCCTGCCGTACCTGTCCCGGAAGTGTACGGCTGGACTCACGACAACGGTCAGGTATTCATCTATATGGAGCTGGTGAAGGGAGTTACCCTCGAGCAACGGTGGGAATTTCTAGATCAGACTGAGCGAGTAGAGATTTGCGAGCAGCTTCGCGTTATCATTTTAGAACTGCGCAAAGTACGGCACGCACCGGGCGACTTTTTCCTTGGTAAGCACCCCTTACAAATAGGTCTTGATACCGAAATATCACCGTACTCACTTTCCAATAAAAGGTCATATCAACCGAGAGCCACTTGGCGATATCGTTTTCACCAACGAAAACTAACCCCCCGCGGGACCCTTCCTCTCGGTTGCTCAATTTCACGATTGGATGGCGACAGTAATCAAGATGGGCATTCGACATCACTGGCAGGGCAAAGAACTTTCTGAAATTCCAGATCCTTATCGCAATAGTATGCCAGATGATGCGGAAGTTGTCTTTACACACGCCGACCTCCATCCAAGCAACATCCTGGTTTCAGAAGATTCCCCTTCTAAAATTTCTGCGATTATTGACTGGCGACAGTCAGGATGGTATCCAGATTACTGGGAGTTCTGTAAAGCCCAATACACAGCTGATGTTCATGGCGAATGGATGAACGTGTATATATCACTGTTTCTAAATGAGCCTAGCTGTCTTGAAGCTTGGGAGTTTTATGCCAGGTCATTTGGATACTAAAAGAATGCTGAAACAATTTAATTCTAAATTTTATTTCATCTTCTCATCTTGCTAGACTTCATTCTCAGAGGTTCAGTGAAACTTTCCATCCTGAGGCTTCTGCCGTGCGTTTTACGGAGTACTCGGTATGTAGTTAGAGTCTTGGACCCCTATATTCATGCTCACAAATTCAAAGGTTACACCATCCAAGCCATTTCATCATATATCATTACCTTCCATCTGTGATCCACCAAATTAGTGATGCTGGACACAACAAGAAGGATAGGTAATTTTTAAAACTCAGCAAGAATCCCCATCAGCAGAATAGCAGGTCTCCAGCAAACATTTTGATAATAAACCAAGTCCCACGGGTTGTTGACCTCCAATTTCAGGATTGTCAGAATTCTACTGACTCCAATTGGTTCTCAGTGAGTTGTATCTATCAGTTTGCACACATAACACTGGTCTTGATAGTTCTGGCTCATCCCCTGCACCCAACTCATGCATAGCGGAAGAAGCGCTTCCGAGCGTGATAGAGCAACTTCTAGATTCGTATGCTGCATGCAAGCCTATGTTGGTAGATCTGTGGAATTGCATGAGCATGAAGATCTTGACATACATGGCTTAGGAACTCTACCTATGTATCCCGGCCTTAGGGGATTGACATCAACGCCGTATCTTTAAACCGGAGGTCCACTCACGTTCTAGATAGCTTGTTAAACGATTTCTAGCGAAAGCCGCTGCATCTTGGACTGAATCCAGCTACTAGCCGAGCCGCAGAGCGTCCTGGTAATGCTCGGACCGGAGTCCAAGAGAAACGACACTAGAAGCTTGAGACCTGAAAGCAACAAATCAAGCACAAGTGAAGATTTTTACTTGATTCCCACGATGAAAGGACCCGGAAGCCGGCCTAGTTTTCAAAAGGTATTTGTATTAAATCCATCTTGTGATGCTCTTGCGGGTATCTGAAAAATTTATCAGTCTTGTCATCAAGAGAGCGAGCGTGAAAACCCATGATACGTAAAAAGCCTGTCCAACACCATTGCCAAACAACGCACAACCGATATCTACCAAGAAAAGTCTCAAAAATTGTGTAGACACTCCTAATGCAACGCCATACCCATCGCATCAGCAGTGCAGAAAAACACCATGTGTCAAAAGTACTGAAATAGCGGCATCCTGCTCGCTAATCACTACTCGCACATCCTCGACATCCACAGCTCACGCACTGAATGTTTTGATCTTCTTTCAACTGAGCTTTAGGGACTCGGCATATACACGTCGAATTGAAATTGGTTTCTTTCGTCTGAATACAGCGAAGGCAACACAACTAGACATGAAGAGCCAAAGTAAGTTAGGAGTCTATGATGTAGCAAAAAGGGTGAAAACGACTACGCTTACCTTCTCGTATCCTTGTTTCTTCCACTTGGCAATCAGATTCGCGTCCGCGTAGTTATTTTTCAATAACCACTCATATAACTTCTTTGATATCGCCTCTTTCTCATAGTATAAATCGTAGATATATCTCGACCCTATGATATTGCAATTTGTCAGCCTAGAAACGAGGACAAAAATGGTTTCAACTTGTCGACTGTAAGAGCAGCTCTACAGTCACTTGAGGTGTTGACTTACGTTGGTGGCTAATTTGGAAGATCGGCCATAACACTTCATGTCTCTTTTTGCCTTCATGAGATGCATTTTCTGCATCTTTCATCTTGTTGCTAAATTCAAGAAGTGTGTCTTCGATGTCGTCGAAACCATCTGGCGGCGGCTTCCGGTTGCGAGAAGTGCGGATTGGTGGCATGGCTAGAGGGGAAGCGGGGAGTGATGTTACCGGGTAGATGGTTGAGGAAAGATCGAGATAAAACGAAACAAGGAGTATCTTGTATATAATACCCTGTGAGCCAGGCTTTGGCGGAACAGATGGCCTGGAGAAGGAGACTGGAATACCAGCTCTGCAGGCAGCTCTGCGGCGGAAGACAAAATGATGACGGGAGTGGTTCTGCCGCTCTTCGCCGCCTCTGACCGGAGCTCCAAAAATTCAACTCCAACGAAGCTGCATTTCGAAAGCTACCGCGCAACATAGATATCCCTTGAACTTATTTTAACCATTCAATCCGGACTTTTGATTGACAACCATACCTACCTCTCTCCCACCTCTCGTCATTTAATCCTCAAATTCACTATGGAGCAAGTGCAGCTTGACCCCAGCAAGCTCAACGCTGCCGACCGCAGAGAAGTTACCCAGTTCATCGCCAACGAAGCTCAAAAGACAAATATCCAGTCCAGTAGGCTGAAACCTACCCCCATTTCGCGTTCGACGATATAGCTAATGGTATCCTCTACAAGCTGTTCATCACTTAACCGAAGTATGCTGGAAAAAGTGCATGACTGGCAAGGTGAACGCGGGCGGATTAGATCGCAATGAAGAAACCTGTGCACAGAATTGCGTTGAACGATGGATGGACGCGAACCTTGCAGTTTTGAAACATTTAGAAACGTTGAGAGGCTCTCAATAGAGGACGGTGTGCCGGACATGGGGGGGGGAACTTGGTCGAATTCGCTGCCTTAAAACATCGAAGCAAGCGGTATATATGATAATACATTCATCGCGGACATGATGGAAATGGGATTATAGAGGTGTGGGTCCCTTGGGTTATCTTCCCTTTTGGCAGCTTCATTTTACCCCTTGTTTGACTCCTTGGGACAATCCGGGGATACGAGGTAATACTGAAAATGATAAGCCTACCGTCCCCGCGGGATAATGAACTCCATGTTGCCCTACAAACGCAAAACCAAGAGAAGTTGTAAATGGGTTTTCTTCTTATTTTGAAATGTTTTCTATATACAGTCGCAACGTCAAGAAGTTGCAGGTGTGCGTTACCTTGTCGTCCAATGCTATAAATGCATGCACAGGAAATCCAACTCTATATGGGGTACCGCGGCAAAACTGGAGCTATGCGTTAACTCTCATGCAATAAATTAAAAACATAATATTTTTCGTATACCCTTGTTGGTTCGCGGCTGGCGCCTGCGACAGGTATACATGAATACAGATTCTTCGCCAAAGACAGGTTGTAAACGCATTCTCCTAGCACCCATTGTTGGGAATGGAGCTGGAAAACGCATTCATAAGATCAAAGCTTTCGCATTTGATGTGTATGATCCGACTTCTGTATTTCGTTTCCCCGGCTTTTTGGAACGTAGATTATATGAAGGGTATCAAACACAAGGAAACCGTAGGGAGGATGAGAACCAGAGGATGGCAGGTGGAGAACGCTATTAGTTAGTCGAGGAAAGTAAAAAGGTTTGTATGTAGGATGTTGATGGCACGATCGGCATCTTTTTCTTCAATCACGCAAGATATGTTGATCTCGCTGGCACCTGATCCGAGAAAACGACGTCAGTCAGTACAAAGTCCAGGAAATAGCAGGGCTGAGGAAACCTGCGGGCAATGAGCTTACCTTGTGATATCATTTCAATATTCACGTTGTGCTCTCCCAAAACGGTGAACATGCGTCCGGCTACTCCTACCATATTTTTCATTTGTTTGCCAACTAGGCTGAGAATCGCCATTTCTGGGATGATATCAACGGTGCCATATTTTCGGAGGTCTTGGATAGCGCCTCGCAGATCTTCGTCAATGATCTGGTACTCATCATGGCCGACTCCATTGAGCAATGGAATTTCGGAATGAAGAGCAAGGGAGACGTGTACTTCGCTGGTCGAAATCAAGTCGATTGATAACCGCCATTTGTCAAGGACCGAAAAGATACCAGCAAAAAACCCATGTGACAAGGATCGTTTGTTGGAATGCACGTTAATCACGAGGATCTTGTGCTTTGCCGTTACCGCCGTCGGCCGTTTCGGTCCAGGTTGCTGAGCCATGAATTGAGGTCCTCTTGTCCGGAAAAGTTTCGGATCGTGGCCTGGCGTTGTCTTTTCTAGTTCGGATGTGGAATCTGGATAGATGACTGTGCCATTCCCCTTTGGCTTCATCACATTTTTGATTCGGATCGGTATCTTCGCACGGATTACCTGCTCCATAGTGAACGGATGAATCACTTCTGAGCCGTAGAATGTCAACTCAGCCGCTTCAGCAGGAGTGATCACTGGTAATAGTCGAGCCGTGGGAACCTTTCGAGGGTCAGCGGTGAATATGCCATCCACTTCCTTCCAAACTTGTAACTCTTCGGCCCGGATTCCAACTGCCACAAGAGCTGCACATAAATCTGTGTAGCCACGCCCGATTTTGTCCAGCAAGCCGCCTGGGACAACGCCAAAATAACCCGTCACCACGGGAACTTTGGCTGCGCATTCCCGCACTTTTGCACCGAATATTTCGGCGAGACGATCATAGAAATCCTGGTCCAGCGCTTGGATCCCGGCGGCAAAGTCGATAACGTCCGAAAGATCCACATACTGGGCATCTACACCACGATCTTTCAATAACATAGTCATAAAACGGCAGCTTAGTTTTTCACCAGCGCTGATGACCATGTCAACGCATCGACTGCTGGTTTCTCCGAGTGTTTGAGCGGCATCTAAGATTCTAAGGATTCGGGCGCATTCGGCCTCAACTTGAATGATTAATTGTTCTCGAAGGTCTGGATTTTGTATAAATTCGCGGGCGACGATGATATGGTCCTGCTTGACAGCTTCGATCAAAGCAAGGTAATTGAAGGATTTGGGATTGTCTGCTTCTCGCGCAGCGCGCAATAACCTGTGCCGCAAAATGTCAACTACCCCGAGACCAGCATTTTCATGTGCGATCCAACTGAAGAACTGAAGGGCACGCTATTCGGAAAGGCACATATCGCTATTGGAACTCACCGGTTGGTGGTGCCATCAGCTTTGGACGAGCTACTGCGAGCAGAGCACACGACAGCGACGCGATGGTTCTCGAGATATGGTCTAAACAGAGGTGGGAAACGAGTTAGCCAATTGTTCAAATACACGATTGTGCCAGACTATCGAAAGAGCCATGGCATCGTCTCGCACACAGGGAGCGCGGGGGAGGCCTACTGGACGACATTATCGACTATCTCGAGAGCGAACTTCCCCACGCTCGTTCCGCCGAACTTTTGCACAACCCATTCCGACGGAGGAGAGCCGGCAACCCCGTTTGTCAAAGAAGTTATCCGGCCGTCATCGATATGTCCATTGGTCTGCGAGTGCCCGTTCATTTTGGCAGGAAAAGAGACACCAGAGTGAAGCAGCGGCTGGGGGACTCAGCGCGGGGGAGCTGAATATGCCCAGCGCTATCGCCGCAGCCCTGACGAAATAGGATCCCAGCGAGAGGCTTGTTGGATAAACAATTACTTGGGAGATGATTGTACGTCAGATCGCAGGGTCGCTTTTACCAATTGACGGATTTGCAGCCCGTGGCAGAATGCGCTCGCCGGTTGTCCGCGAGGTTTGACCGTTTGACTCAGCTCGGAATTCTCGTGCGGCAGAAAAGTTTGGCGGAGCAAGTTTTGCCGGGGATCACGCCATCGGCCGCTATGCCCGGTGTGGCCTAGCGCGCTGTGTCTCGGTGATTGTCGGGTGTTTTGCTGCTGCGTTCCTGAATTTCCCGCATTCAGCTTACCGATGAAAGGATTGTGAACAGTGAGGGTGAGATATATCATATCAGCGGTCACTGTTCGCTTCTGCGTTTTCCTGTGGAGGGGCGTTTTCGCTGGCATTCTTACTCCAGAGCAGGTCCAGACAGCCAACGACCTCCGGAAATATCCTCTGTTTCCCTGCCTGGCCGCGGGAAACCCTGTTGCCATTCCAATCAGACAGGGTGTTGGAGAGGAACGTCTATTCTCCGAATGGCTGCGCAAAATCGCGGGCAAAGGGTCACCGCCTGTCATTTCCTGTTTGGATATTACCCGGGCTTTGGCACCGACAAGCGCTCAGTCTCGGGGGGGCAAAATGCAAGGGATCCTGCTATTACTACAGATTAAGGCCCTATGCTAAAGACCCTTTTACATGGGCTTCCGAACCTCAACATTCCCATACAGGCTTTGGCTGGCCTTGGTTTTTCCTGTCCTTCTTTTTTGGAAGTGGACGATGCAGTTTTCTATTATGGCTTGGAATTGTGATTGGAAAGACAAGAGAGGAGCTCTGTTGATAGGCTCCTAGGCCCAGGGTTTGGTGTACCGTAACGAATATGGGATATGCCAGGCCACTTCTGGCTCTGTCGACACTTTCTTTATCTAGGCACCTCATCTCTCCTGGAGCCAAAGCCCAACGACACCTACCACCGTCTGCACAAAATCATATCAATGCGAGGAGCGGGAACACATCTCAATGGGCTTTTTTTACCTCAAAAGATTCCTCCCACCTATAGCCGCCATGATGAGCGAAGCAGCCCCGTCTTTGCCCACGTGTGACTTTTCCTAGTGAGATCTGGAAGTTCTTCTCGAAACGTGTGTGTGCAGCTCTTGCAGCTCTTATTAATAACTGACTGAGCTGCAGAAAACCATTGGGAAACGGCTATGGCATCTGAGCAAGGTATATTATGATGCCAGGGGAACTTCCACCAAGTTAAGCAAACACTTCCACTTCTTCAGTTGACAGCCTTCAATTAATCCGTATACAATTATGTCTACCCGTCTCATCAACATATTTAACTAGTTAAATGAGAGCAGCGAGACATGTAACTAGCGTAGCTAGTCAACAGAGTGAAATCACGCAAGAGTCAGTTTCCGTATGGGTGCATAGAGCTCATCCGTAGACAAGTCTATTACATGGCGCCCTATTTCACTCGGAATTGTAGTAAAGAAAAAGAAGACAGAATTGCCCAAAGGGATTTTGAATGGCGGGTAACGCATCCGGGCTTCTTGATTCCCATACCAGTCAGTTTGAATCGCAGTTTGGGGGTTGCGGTCCTGTCTAGTTTGGAGGTTAAATCCTACTCTAATCAAAAGAATCTTTGAAAGCCACTATCTAAGGGAGAATAAGTGCTTTTTGAAGGCTTGACCTATCCCTAGCGACCAGGGTGGTATCAAAGAACCGGTCATCAAAACCAGGCATGAATAACTATCGGGTGATGAATGCTATGGAACTGCATCCACCCACTTCTTTGGACCCAACTAACTAGTTTGCTATAAATTCAACACTGGACTCTTCACCAAGCTTGGAACATTCACAAGCATGGCTTCCTTTTGCATACCAGCCTCCTGTTTTATTTAACTTAATGGAGATAATTTGCAAAGGCAAGTAATTTCCTTCTGTGGCCAAAAAAAGGCTTCAACCTCGTCAATACACATCAAAATGGAGGCTCAAGAGAGCAATATCCCATCATGTCCATTCTGTGAAT